TTTTTTTAGTTCTTAACTCAAATCTAAGTATGTAAGTCAAGTCAATATTTTCCTATGAGAGTGATTCTTAAGTCAAAATGTTCCTAACTCAAGCCGTTCTTAAGTAAAGACCCCACTGTACAATGATAAAAAGCAAAAAACCTTATTATTTTCAATGAAAGACATGCAAAAGTATTTAAACTTTAAAAATAAATGTATACAAAGTCAACAGCATTATTTGACTCTAAGCGGGTCAACACAGAGAAATTTTTTCTCACCCAGCCATATGTAAAATCCATTGCTGGCTGTCACTGCCACACAGTGATCTTTCCTCTTTTCTGAGGAATTTCACCCTGAAAAACCTTATTATTTTCAATGAAAGACATGCAAAAGTATTTAAACTTTAAAAATAAATGTATACAAAGTCAACAGCATTATTTGACTCTAAGCGGGTCAACACAGAGAAATTTTTTCTCACCCAGCCATATGTAAAATCCATTGCTGGCTGTCACTGCCACACAGTGATCTTTCCTCTTTTCTGAGGAATTTCACCCTGCATCAGTTCCATCATCTATTGTTGTACTCCATGAAAACAAACCCTGTGTGGTTCTCCATTCCTTTCTAATAACAGTGTTTGTTCATCTGTCAGCAAAACAACCTCTTCCCAAGGTTTGGGTTTCCCAGCCTCTGAGAAGCTCAGATGATGAAAATCAAAGGATTGGGTCAACTCTGACCCAGTGCAGTCTAGGGCCTGAAGAGATCAGAGGTTGAAAAACTCACAAAGTCTGAACAAAATTTCAGCTCTCTTTGAACAATACCTGCTGTTACAAACCAAGATGCTCTCAAAAGCACAGAAAAGTCTAGTTGTTGATAAAAAATACAGAATATATATTCATTAGTTCCTTTTCAAAACTCATTACTATTATTAATTATGAGGGCAAAGCCTTCTAAAACAAATGACATGTTTTGCCTCTTTGCTACTTGTTGTAAAAGCGAGCTTCCTAAGAAATTGCTTTTACACGTAACAGAGAGGGGTCCAGGATGAACAGTTCTTACTTGGGTAAAACCAGGTCCTTTAATTTTACCCTAGGCAACTTTTCCACCCTTTCTCCCAAGTCTGCTACGATTTTTAAATAAAAAACTTCCAGTCATTCTAGATTTACTCCTCTTTATCTTATATGTAGGACCCTAAATTGGTAGCATGCGCATGGCCTGATTAAATAAATCAATTTTAAAGTAGCCAATTAACTAGAGTAGCTTGACAGTCTATTCAAGAAGCCAACGTACAGACAAACAGCCTTTTTATATTTTATTAAAAAGATAGAGATTAATTTGAAACACATTTAGATAAGCCAATCTTTACACAAATAATCATTTCCAAGAACTGACCTTGTACATTTTTTCTCCCTAATTAGCATCTGGACACAAGTGGATTTCTAGCTTTTTCGTTGCTGCTCTAAAATAAATCCTATGATATACATCTCTATTCTATTTTCATAATCAAATTCATGACACTACTTGCTCATGTTTCATCAGTTAGCCTTAAAACATCCATTTTTTTCATTTTTTACAAATTCTGTAAAAGCTTCCATTGTACACTATATTATTATTCTCCTTGGTTTAACGCAAGTTTCCACATCCCTTTGTTAATTACTGTTATGAATTAAATACATCACAAACGGACTTCAACATTCACTCATTTTTTCTCTTTTCTTTCAGTTTCATATTACATCAGCATTTACCTGTCTATTCTTTCCAGTGGAAAGTAGCACAAAACTGAATGAGCTACTTATGCATTCTTATCAGCAGCTTTTGTACCAAAACAAGGGGTTGCAATGTAAATTATATCCCCAGCTGTGATTTTTCTAAAAGCTTTCACTTTTAATGCACCTCTGAAGCAACTTTTTAAAGCAGTGTTATTTTTAGGATAAAAAAATCTGCATCCAATAAAGATAATTCTTTTTAAATAATACACACAACTCAGGTTATCTCTCCAATTTAAGCTCAATCCGCATTCCGTGAATTTCTATAGTTTCTGCCCCATCTTTGTTCTTTGATGAGTGTGAGGAAATAGGAGGAAACTGGAACTTGTCGTCATACAAAGATGGAGTCTGTTAGGTTCTGTGTAAGATGAATTTAAAAGCAATGAAATGTTCTCATGAGATTGTTGTGCAGAGTTGCTTTGCCTGGCATGAAGATAAGGAAGGAAGGCCAAAGGGGCCCAGGGAAGATGAAACAGAGCATAAAGATAAACCAATGGGACTTGGATCTTCTCATGTGAAATGTGGGCGGTGAACTAAGTTACAATCACTTAGACTTAATTGGTTAACAGCTTGGAAGTGTCATAAAGAAGGTGGTCCAGAGACATGTAGAAAATTGGTTGTTCCTGTATATGAGATTGATGGTGGATGTTGTGGAATGTGAGAGGTTTGGCCTTTGAAAGAGAAGAGAGGGGAGAAATCACCCAGTTTCCCTTAGCTTCTAGTCGTTATTTTACTTAGAAATAGTACAGTGGTGCCTCGCACAGCGAGGTTAATCCGTCCCGGATTAACCCTCGCTGCGTGAAACATCGCTGAGTGGTAAGAAAAAAGCCATTGGAATGCATTAAACTTAGTTTAATGTGTTCCAATCGGCTGATTTACTCACCGTTCAGCGAAGTTTTTCAATGGCAGGCAGCCATTTTCGCGCCTTCCCCTCACTTAACGAGGGTGCGAAAACACTGCGCGTGGCCATTTCAGCTGTTCCGGCGGCCATTTTGTTGCTGCGGAACAGGTGATCGGCGGGTCACAAAGCGAAGGTCGGTAAGCGAACCGCTTACCGACCTTTGCTCTGCGATTTTCGCCCACTGGGGCCGTCGCTCTGCAATCGCATTAGCGATCGAAAAACCGTCCCTGTAGAGCGAATTCATCGCTCTACGGGGTGCTCGTTGTGCGAGGCACCACTGTATCTCTGTCACATGCTGCAACTGCTGCATTCATTGCTATTTGTGCTTAGAATCACTTGTTGCACATTAAGTATAGGGTAATAGCGTAAAACAAATATAGTTCTTCAATAGAGGACTGGTCTCTTGAACAGCAGGATTACACCTAAATCTAGTGAGGATTTGAGAAGGTCACTCATTTTACTGTAATATTGACAGGTCCTACTTGCTCAGGCTGTTGTCCGGCCAAAGAAGCACTCAGTCAATTGTTTATTGCTTTGAAAATAAGCAAAGGTTTCTTTTGAGGTTGGACTTGCCCATGGAGCTTGTACTACCCACGTCTGAGGCTTAAAGCACTTACCTAAGGCACTAAAGATGGTAGTTTTGCACCCACAGTGACACCCTGACTCACGATCCTTATCTCTTCAGGTAGAGGTCATCGTGACAATGATAACTAAGACTACTGGTCTAATTCAGGCTTTCCACAATGTATTGATATGTACAAAATAATTACTACTAATGAGGCTCTGTTTACATTCTTCTATGATTTCTCCCGAGTGTGAATTTTTAGATGGGACTTAAGGCTACTGGTATGACTGAAGCTCCTTCCACATTCCATGCATTTATATGGTTTCTCCCCAGTGTGAATTCTTTGATGTGAACTCAGGGCACTGCTCTGACAGAAACTCTTTCCACATTCCATGCATTTATATGGTTTCTCCCCAGTATGAGATCTTTCATGTGAACTCAGGTGACTGCGTTGACTGAAATCCTTCCCACATTCCATGCATGTATATGATTTCTCCCCAGTGTGTGTTCTTTGATGTCTATTCAGGGCACTGTTCTGATTGAAGCTCTTCCCACATTCCATGCATTTATGTGATTTCTCCCCAGTGTGAGGTCTTTGATGTCTACTCAGGTTACTGCTGTTACTGAAACTCTTTCCACATTCCATGCATGTATATGGTTTCTCCCTAGTGTGAGTGCTTTGATGACTCCTCAGGTAACTGCTCTGACTGAAGCTCTTTCCACATTCCATGCATTTATGTGGTTTCTCCCCAGTGTGAGTTCTTTGATGTCTATTCAGAGTACCACTCTGACTGAAACTCTTTCCACATTCCATGCATTTATGTGATTTCTCCCCAGTGTGAGTCCTTTGATGTGAACTCAGGAGACTGCTACGACTGAAGCTCTTTCCACCTTCCATGCATTTATGTGATTTCTCCCCAGTGTGAGTCCTTTGATGTGAACTCAGGAGACTGCTACGACTGAAGCTCTTTCCACCTTCCATGCATTTATGTGATTTCTCCCCAGTGTGAGTCCTTTGATGTGAACTCAGGAGACTGCTACGACTGAAGCTCTTTCCACCTTCCATGCATTTATGTGGTTTCTCCCCAGCGTGAGTTCTTTTATGTCTATTCAGAGTACCACTCTGTCTGAAGCTCTTTTCACATTCCATACATGGATACAGTTTCTCCTCTGTATGGGTTATTTGATGTCTATTGAGATGACATGCATTTATTTGGTTTCTCCTTTGTGTGATTTCTTTCATGTGACATCCAGTCCTGCCCAGTTGGATTTTCAATTCTCTGATTTTTCCCCTTGTTTATGTATTTCTGCTGAGGATGGCCCAGGAGTTGCTGGGTGATTCTTCTTCTCCTGTTCATCATCTGGTAGATTAGAAAAAGAAGAGATCATAAATCTGCAGAGATAAGGAGAAATGCATTTGGGCTCAGTCTGAGTAATGGAGGAGGAAGGAAAGACAGGCAAAAAGGTGAGGGAGGAGAACCAGAGTGGGTGTGTGGCTGGACCTGAGGGTGTTCCTTTGGCCTTGAGGTGGGAGGGGCACTTCTGAGGAACCCTTTGGGGGAGGGGTCATAAAGGAAGGAACATTTCCACACCCAAAAAAGTACCTCAAACGCAAAGTATTTTAACTTTATTTCCTTCTCAATTTTCATTTGGTAGAGGCAGATTTGCAGCCCTCCCTTAATTATTAGCTTAGAATTCTATTCTGAGAAGTCTATTTTGATGTGATGTCGTTATCCCATTAAAATGCCTTTTAATGAAAATTGGAGATTGTGTAGCAACTATAAAAGCGGGTCACAACTAAAAAAAGGTTGGGAAACACTGTTCTAGATGCCTCTTAAGGAGAGATCATCATGATTAGCAGCAGTTATAATCACTGGGGAAAGGACAAAATAAAGTGGAATAAATTTGCGATGATGTTGTTTTAGTATAATAAGGATGAAAAATACTATTACTATATAGAATAGGATAAAGAGGAATAAATGTTACTAAAATTAAAAGATTTTAATAAGCAAAATTTTGAAAAGTTGAAATTAAAAATAATTTACATGATTATAGGAATATCAGCCATCACACTTTGGTCGAATTGTCTCATCTAAAACGAAAACTGGACCAAAGATCAATTTTTAATTGTCTTTTTTTATCCTTCCCAATGACTTTCATGAATTTTCCAGAAAATTAGAAAGGGTTTCCTCAAAGTTTATTAAAGAGAAAACAAATATTAAAGGACTAGTTAGCAAAAATGAATATGGCGGGGAGGACAGTGTTACAAAAGGAACAGTTAATGTGGATGAATGCGATGCAGCTCGATTATTGGACTCGAGAACAGGTAAAGAGTAGTTAGTGCTCAATGTTAGTGCTCCTTCAGTGGGAGAAGAGAAAGGAGAGGTCCATGAACGGGATGGGATGTAGAATTTTTAAGATGCTATTATGGATAGAGAATCATGAGGCATTTCTGAAAACAGGGTAGGAAGCAGAGATGACCAGGGAAATAGGTACTGAGTTAATAGAATGTTAGAATTGCAGAGCTAGAAGGGAAGTGAACGCCCAACCTTTGGCAAACCAAGGTAATAAAAACTAAACTTTATACATTGAAATGGAGGTATCTGACCCCAAAGAAATAAAATATGATGAATTCTAAATGCTGCACATTGTTGAAGATGGGGTCACGTTATCGGTTCTTGCCTCCTGCCATCAAGGGCAGGGTAAGAAGATGCAGCGAGTTCAGCGGCCAGGCAAGGAAGTGTCATGGGTGTGTCCTTATTGCAAGGAGCTCTCTATAGGAAAAAAGAAACAAGCCGCCCTTCTTGGAGGACCCCCATACCCAGAGGTTCGCTTAGATGCTTAGGCCCAAAGCATCTAAGCAAAGAGGGGAGAACTGGAATATTTGGAGGCTAGATGGAACATGGATACAGCGGCCATCATCGATTCCACAGTCCCAGGCTATCCAAGAGGGATAGGCAGGGGGCGTGTGGGAGGTGGGGTGACCATCTAGGTCAAAGAAGGGGTCGAATCCAGCAGAATGGAGATGGATGGTGGGTCTTAGTCCATCATAGAATCACTGTGGTTTGGGTGTGCTATTGTCCTCCAGATCAAAAACCCTTTGGTTTCTGAAGGGTGAACTATCCACAGATGAGGAAACTAGTTAAAAAGAAGTTGAAGAGGAAGGTAAAAAAAATCTCTCCAGACAGCATGGAGTCTGTTTAATATAATGGTAGTCAAGGCCCAGCAGACGTGTATCCCAATTAAAAAACGGGCTCAATTAAGTTCAAGAAGGTTAAAGAGCAGAGTTACAGAGGTTTTAAAGGGAAAGGGAGGGAAATGCTTTCCAAGTGAGGAAAACAAAACAAAAAAACTCTGGCAAAAGACATGTAAGCAGATGAGACAGAAGGCCAAGAAAGAATTAATGGAACTTATGGCCAGCAATATAAAGATTAGGCATCCTTCAGTCCTGAGAGAGTATGGTATCGTGCTCTGTATGGAGGACCTGGAACAGCATCTAGTGTGGCTGAGAAGGCCAATTTGAGAAGAGGCCGTGATGAACCGCCTGTCTCCAGGCTGAATGATCAGGTGTCAAGCTTTCCTATTTGTTGAGGTCCATCCCTAAGGTCTTCAGATCCTGCTTGCAGATATCCTTGTATCAAAGCTGTGGGACAATTTCCCTGCACTGACAATTTCCCTGCACTGACAGGTTTCCCTGCACTGACAATTTCCCTGCACCCACCCACACCCCAGCAAAGTGCCGCTTTCAGAGGAGGAGACTGACAAGTTTAGGTCAAACTTGTGTGAATTGCTGAATGCAATTCTATGAGTATTAACAGGATCGGAGCTACAAGATATGTGTAGCTAGAGGCGGTACAGCTGAGCTGATTGAGACAGCTGAGAGAAGACCGACACGATTGGTGAACCCTAGGATAAAGCTAGCAGAACTAGCTTACACACTCTGTTGGTTGTGGGGTTGGTTGTTGGTGGTGTATGCTGTGTCGGAGTGCTGTTGGAGTTGCTGTATTGGAGAAGATCCTGGAAGAAGCCTACAGTATCTCCATGCATATTGGGAGAACTTGTGGCTTCAGGACTGCTCAGCTGGTAAACGAACTCTGGACTATTTACAAAAGGATTTTGACTGTGATTCATGTATTGAAACTGCTGAACTGCTGTGCATGACCAAGGACTGTGAGACCAAGACTAAAGCTGTGTATGTATGTAAAAATCCTGTAAATAATACAAGTAATACTTCTATCAGCACTACAAGTGGTTTGGTGTATTCATCTCAGGGAAGTTTATCTACCAATAGCGCCACCTGGTGTATCTTGGAAACACTGCGCCTCTGTCATGCACTAATTCTCCATACAGGAGATCTTTTGGAATTCGACCATCAGCCATTCTCATGACATGCCTAAGCCAACATAGACATTGCTGTTTCAGTAATGTATACATGCTAAAAATTCCATCTCAGTTTAGGACTACTCTATTTTTAACTTTGTCCTGCAAGTTGATACCAAAAATTCGTCAGAGAACAATGCATATGGAACGTGTTCAGCTTCCTCTCTTGCCGTGCACAAAGGGTCCAGGGCTTGCTGCGGTATAGGAGTGTTATCAGGACACAGGCTCTATAGACCTGGATCTTGGTGTACGCCATCAACTTCTTATTGAGCCATACTCTCTTTGGGAGTCCAGAGAACATGGTAGCTGCTTTGCCAATGCATTTATCCAGCTCGATATCTAGGGAGAGAGTGTCAGAGATCGTTGAATTCATGAACAGCCTCCAATTCTTGCATGGAGATAGTAATAGAGGGTGGCGAGTCCACGCCCTGGCTCATGACTTGTGTTTTCTTCAGGCTGATTGTTAGTCCAAAGTCTTGCTAAAACAATGCATGAGTTGTTGGAGGCCTTCTGCAGAGTGGGCAACAATGGCTGCATCATCTGTGAAGAGGAAGTCTGGCATGCATTTCAGTTGGACTTTGCTCTTTGCTCTTAATCTAGAGAGATTAAAGAGCTTTTTGTCTGATCTAGTCTGGAGATAGATACATTCTGTTGGAGTTCCAAAGGCATGCTTCAGCATGATAACGAAATAGATCCCAAAGTGGTTCAGCGTGAGGACACAGCCCTGTTTCACTCTGCTTCAGATGTCACAGGGATCTGATGTTGAGCCATCAAAAACTACAGTGCCCTTCATTTCCTCATGAAAGGTCCTGATGATGTTACAGAGTTGGGGTGGACATCCAATCTTGGGAAGTATTTTAAAAAGGCCATCCCTGCTAACCAAATCAAAGGCCTTTGTAAGATCTATGAAGGCCACAAAGAGTGGTTGTCGTTGTTCCATACATTTCTCCTACAACTATCTGAAGGAAAATACCATGTCAGTGGTGGACTTATTAGTTTGAAATCCACACTGTGATTCTGGATAGACTCTGTCTGCAAGCACCTAAAGTCTCTTCAGCACAATATGGGCAAGCAGCATCCCTACAACACAGATTAGAGAGATGCCACAGTAGTTATTGCAGTCGCCCCTGTCTCCTTTGTT